TACCATGGCATTAAACTCCCAGTTCTGTGTTAGAGGGGGCTTTGTGAACAACTGCTATCGGAGTACAGTGCGTTCAGAGCGACTAATGCAAAGGAACAACTAAAGTCATTTTAGGATTTACAATTATAGCAGGTTGGATGAGGAGATCCGGATATGTAGAGAACACAGAACTTTTGTCACATTATCTAAAAAAAAAAACTTACTCAGCACATTATGCACATCTTGTACCCACTTATTCTCTGTCTCAAAAAAAAAAAAAGTTAAACATTAAAATATAGAACCATTATAGCACTTGCGTATCATTGCTCTTTTGTTGATTTTGATTGCTTCCATTGTCCTCATTTGTAAGTCGCTTTAGATAAAAGCTTCTGCTAAATTACTAAATGTAAAATAATCATCGGTTGACACAGCAAGTATATCAAGCTGGAAATCCAAAGACATGGGCCTAATTCACTTAGAATTCCATACAGTTTCCGTATTTAAATGTGCAGAAAAAGTTCTTGTTCTAACCCTTGTTCTATTGTTTGATGTATCCAGATTTTTGATTATTTTAAATGAGAGAGCGTTGTGTGCCCACAGCTACTAATTTGCAAAAACAAGCCCACAGCATGTCCATATAAAAGATTTCTGTAAAACACGACAAGATCTTAAAGCAAAGTGTGCTGTTCTCAATTCAAACCCGGTTGAATCACAATGTATGATTTTTACAGTGGTGTGAAAAAGTGTTGGCCCTTCCTGATTTCTTATTTTTTTGCATGTTTGTCACACTTTAATGTTTCAGATCATCAAACAGTTTTAACAGGGGGGCAAACACTTCTTCACACAGGGCCATGTAGTTTTGGATTTTGTTTTCCCTTAATAATAAAAACCTTCATTTAAAAACTGCATGTTGTGTTTACTTGTGTTATCTTTGACTAATATTTAAATTTGTTTGATGATCTGAAACATTAAAGTGTGACAAACATGCAAAAAAATAAGAAATCAGGAAGGGAGCCAACACTTTTTCACACCACTGTATATCGAAAGAATGTATAGCATAACAGCAAACTACTCTTACTATTTCTGCCATATGATACTGGCAAAAAAAGTAAGTGTACTATTAAGCCCCAGATTTCATAAAGTATGTTTGGAACACTGAGGGGGAAATAACAGTGAAAAAGGGAGAAAGCACTGGCAACCTATCTGAGGTTGAGAAATGGGCAATTTTACCTATAGGTTCCCAAAAAGGTTGAGTTTATAGTTGATTACAACTCTCGCATCTCTCTCCCAGCAGTCAGCACCGACTTCGATTGTCTCAGACAGCCGTTCTGAAAAACTGACTTAAACTTCTTAAGATGTGCTGTTCACACCATTTGTACTTGCACAATGTGTTTCATTTTGGCCTTGAAAACAATGTTTTTAAAGCCCCACCAGAAAACCAAAATCCATGCATTTTCTAAAAATGTAATATTGTAATATTATGAGTGAAAACATGATCACTGTTGTATAAAGGATTGAAATCGTTGCACTTATTCGATTTTTTCTACATATCAATATAGCCAATTGGTCATAGAGGTTAGGTTTTAAGGTAGGATTGTTGGTGTGTTCTGCTTCATAGTAACGGTTACACTGACAAAAAGGTGCATTTTGTATTACAAGCATGACAGCTTAAACTACCAGTCATGTTGAGTGGGCAAATCAGACTTTCAGACCCCATATGAGAACATTTAACATGTCAGAGTGTTGTTGTAAACTGAAGAGAATAAACCAAGCAATGACATGACATCATCATCCTGATGTGTGCTCATCTGTTTGGGGGGAAAAAAAGAATCACACCAGTCCCACATCATTCATTTTTTATTCTAATCCAGAAAGTCTGAAAATAAAAATGTGTGGTTGTGGATAAACCTCAGCTCTCTTCTCTTTTTGTGTCAGTACACTTTAATGAGACTTTCTATTTAGCTGTCTCAAAACTTCATAAATCACACAATGAAAATCTGTGCTCAGTGAGCAGCACAAAGCTCAGACTATACAGGAGCAGTTACATTGATACCAGTGTTGAACAAGTGGTTATAAATGTCACTTGTGAGGATAAACAGTAGTTTTCAGAGATTTCTCAGGATTTCTCAAGTTTCTCAGGATGGTGATGGCAAGCATGCTAAAGTGATGCCCTTGCTCATGTAAACTTATTCCTGATTCTTTGTCTTCACACACCTTGCACCGCATTCAAACAGGGGCCAAAGGGGAGACAGCCAGCGTCATTCTACCATGCTGCTTTCATCTCTGACACCATCTCCTGCTGTTGGCAGGAATGCCATGGCAACCCTCCTCTGGTCCTCAGAGGCACAATACAGTCTAAACACAAGAGATCAGGAAAGAAGGGAGAAGGGTGGCAGCTCACTAGTCAAATTGGCTCCTGCTAAGAACCAATGCATGATGGTGGCCGGGAAAAAAAAGTATGTCACAGCACACAATAAAGGCTTGACATGATAGCTTTTACCTGTTTCCAACTGAGAACTGGCTGAATTGATAAACGGGTCTTAAATGGCACAGCAAGTGGCATTTAGGCTCAGATGTTGTTGCCATCTGAAACATTTCACAGCTCACGATTCCTCTTCTATAACAGAGCAGGAATGTAAAACATGCTTAATAATTCAGGAAAACAATTCATATTGTAGAACCGTGAGTGTGTAAACAAACAACAAACCTACAACTCTCTACGATAGCAGCATAAATCACACAAAAGAACATTTACTCACTCCTTGAATGAACACCGACAGCCTCCCTGGGGTGAGCTTGGGCTTGATGAAGAAGATCTAGCTTGACAAAGAAGATTGGATTCGGACCACAGTGTTTCTGGATGCTTAAACAAACCTTAACAGCCAAGGACAGATATAGAAAACAGTTTGATCTGGCACTTCAGATAGGCAATGTTTCAGCCAACAGCTTAAAGCACCAAAAACATGTTACAGGGGGCAAAGATGGAGCAAGCGGGATGGGGCGATGGCTGAGAGAGGCTTTTATTTTACATATAAATTCAGATTAAATGCCTATGGAAGCATGAAAATAAAGGGGTTGTGGTGTTCTCATTTTATTGAAGAAAATAAGGAGCGGGTCACCTCCTCGCATTCAGAGTCAGACTCTTCAAAGAGGTGACGGTAATGTGAGGGGAGCCAGATCCTTCACTAATCAATTTCTATAATAGCATAATTGTAATACATAACTTAATCTTTTGGTCTTAGTATTTCATAAATTGCAGTTACACATGCAATTCTGGAATAATATGATGTAGCCGGCAACAATGAAATGGACCATAGCAATGTAATAGCTACTGAAATACTAATTAAACTACTGCAATTTTAATTTTCTGTGGGACGATTTTCTTAAATCATATATTATCCCAAACCTGCTGGACTGCGGTGTTTAAACTATAGGAAACTACAAACATCTAGCACCCCCTGCTGGGAACTCATCTACCATTTATCAAAATTCTCTTCAAGCTCCAATTTCTTGTGTTCTGTAGTTCCTAATAACAACACCACCAAAAATAATTTTACCCCCAGTGACAAAGCTGAATTTTCAGCAACCATTACTTCTTTGTTAGTGTCACATAATCCTTCAGAAATGATTCTAATGTGCTGATCTGCTGCTTAAAAAACATTTCTTCTTATCATCATTGCTAAAAACAGCTGTGTTGGTTAATATTTTTGTGGAAACCATGATACACTACTATTAAAAAAGTTTGGATTAAACAAAAATTAATAACTAAATAAATAACTAAATCGATTTAATGAGCAAGAATGAATTAAACTGATCAAAATTGACAGTAAAGACATGTTACTACATTTTTGTTTTGTTTTACTTTCTATTCATCAAAGCATCCTGAAAAAAAAGTATCATGAAACATGAAGCAGTTTTCAACTACTGAACTGAATTCTTCAACTGTCTATGATATTGATAAATGTTTCTCAAGCAGCAAATCAGCATATTAGAATAATTTCTGAAGGATCATGTGACACTGAAGACTGGAGTAATGGCTGCTGAAAATTTGCTTTGCCATCACAGGAATAAATGACATTTTAAAATATATTAAAATGGAAACCACTTATTATAAATTGTAAGGATATTTCACAATATAGCGCTTTTACTGTAGTTTCGATTAAATAAATGCAGCCATCGGGAGCAGAAGAGACTTCTCTCAAAAACAGTATCCAAAACATTCGACCCACAGAATATATTTGAGAATGCAATAAAAGGTTTTGCCCATTTTCTGGCAATAACAAAACTGGAAAGCAACGGGTTTCTTTTCAACCAGTATATTTCCATCAGAGTAAATAAATGGGCTGCCATTTAGCTGGACCTGTGTGAAGTTGTTGAAGTGCTAAGAACACCCTCATCCTCCTGTGACACAGGCAGAAACTCCGGATGCTGGTTCCAGTGCAGAGGGATTCAGTGGTTGAGTCATCTGATGCTTCTATAATCCAGGGTACCACACACTACGGGGAAAAGGATAAACATGATCCAACTGAAGCATGCTCAAATACATCTTTCCCCGGGTTCTCTTATATAAAATCACTGATCTACAAAATGACAGCATGAAAGGACACAGTTTTGGTGAAAATGGATTTCTAAAGAGAAGCCAACTCGGCTGTTTCCACAGCAACAGGAGACTGCACAAACAATTCTGCAGTCCTCCATTGGTCCATCATTACTCAGCCGCACATGGCAGGAAAAAATACTACAGATAGGAGAGAATGCAAAAAGGAAATTGTTTAACATTAGTGATCCTAGTAGATATGTTTTGATTTGACTCACCCTTAGTCTGGGATTTTCAAAATAATCACCATTGGCTCATACATCACTGTGATAGAACAAGAAAAATCACAAAGCAAATTGTCTTATAAACACGGACATGCAAGTGAAGTGTTGATATTTGTCTTTTTAGAGAATTTTTTTACCAGTGCATGCAAAAATAAAGACGAAGCCCAAGACAAAGATAGCAATTAACAAACATCTTTTATTAAAGAACAGGAAAACCAACTATCACCACAGGGTGCGTGTTTAAACAGTTCCACATTAACTTTTCTTTTTTTTTTTTTTATCACCACCTGTAGCACATAATCCAACAATATAAATGTGTACAGGCAATCTTGCATATTCTAATCAAATCGGAATCATACAAAACCCTGTTGTGAAAAAGAAAAGATGGCTGACACATGAAGTAGCTCCTACAGACCAGTTATAACCCAAATAAGTCTGAAATCTTATTATTGGTCTCATATGATTCTTGATACAATTTACAACCAAAACACGAGGAAAACGATGTCATGTTGGCTATTAAACGTATTTGTTTCTAATTGCAAACAGCTTATAAAACTATTAACTAGTAAGCTTTTAACTGAGGGGTGATTCATGTTCATTCAATGCGAGTATTCAATGGAACTGCTTATCAAATAAAGTGAAACGGTTTTCTCAGAAACAACATCATGCTGGACTACTAAAAAGAGTTTTCCTAGAAAGCAGCACAAGCCTTTGGAAAGCTTTCAAATCTTTCTTGATCAGTAAGACTGCGGGAAAAATAATTATTATTCAATTAGTGTAACAAACTGGAAGTCAAAGGTTCCTAAGCAGCAGAGCTCTGAGGGACGCAGCAACTATATACAATTAGTTCAAGTCTGCTGGAGTCAATCAATAAGGACAAATAGCCCTGTAACAGAGCAGTCTATCTGCAAGTCAGACTACATGCTCCATTAGTTAGGGTTGAACTAAGGAATATGCAGTGGAGCTCAATCACACACTGTCACCCAAATCCACCTCAGCCATATATGCATCCAGCTCTGCATCCAGATGACTCTTGGTCATAGACATGTACTCATCCAGTTGTTCATCCAACTGCTCCCGAGAAGGAATCTGGTGGCTGTCGAATCTAGCCCGACTGCACCCTGAATGTGTCCCTGAATGTGTCCTACTGACAGACGTAAAACGGCCGCCACCTGTGCAGATAAACGAGAGTTATTTTATAGCTAAAACATGAGTGACGTGACATGTGGCCAAGTATGGTTACCCATACTAGGGATTAGTGCTCTGCATTTAACCCATCCTAAGTGCACACACACAGCAGTGAAAACACGCACACCGTGAACACACACCCGGAGCAGTGGGCAGCCTTTTATGCTGCGGCGCAGGTTACGAGTCCAACTCTCTAACCATTAGGCCACGACTTCCCCAAACCATGAGTAGATGCATGTACTGAATCTAATCGTTTCACTTCAGTGAGGTGACAAATATGCATGATATTCTTACAATGTGAATAAAAAATGTCTTTTTGAGAGAAACATCTGCCAGTTTTTTAGTGCTCAGAGCTGTTGAGCAGAGCAAAAATTCATTAACAAGAAATAAATTTATCTGCACCATTTGAAAAGAAATGGAACAGAGCCAATTTGTTTAAAGTGTTTCCATAATCAGGTAAATTACTGCAATCTTCTCTGATGCTCACTGAATGCACTGAACAGGTCAACAGCCAAAAAAGCAAATGGAACTACATTTGTACATTTCAGCAAATATGCAGGCAATTCTAATGATATTTGAATTAGAATCCCTCTGTTTCCCACTGGTCCAGTCCAATTCACAATTCCGCCACGCTGTTGCTGGCTCCACCCCTTCTGAATATCTAGAGAGGAGACTAACCCTTGCAGACATCTTATGCCTGCACCCCAAAACACACATACATGCATGTACATGCTATATAATGTAATGCTGATGTTTATCTCATCTCATCTACTCTCTCACTCACTTTTCCTTGTGTAAAATCCTTTGACCAGTCCACTTCTGCCACCGCCTCCTCCTCCTCTCTTTTGCCCCTGCAATCCCATCATGCCCCCTCTCCCCATGGGACAGCCGAGTCTCGCCTTCACGCTCACTTTGCACAGTTGATTATTTATATTCTGCAGAGAGGAAGAGTCACAGAAACTATTTAGTCTGCTATCAGAAAACATCAGCTCTGAGAGGTCTGTATTTCATCAAACAGAATGTGCCTGACAGATGTGTTATGAAGGGCGGCCAGCACAGAAGGTCTGTTGGCCATCTCCAGAGCCAGGCGCTGGTTCTTCAGAGAGGCTGCAGTCTGCTGGTTCACTGCGGCTGTGATGTCCATCACATCTGCCGGCTCATGCTTCAGCAAACTGGTGAAGCTTCAAGGAGGAGAACAAGACGACAGAGAATCACACCACAATATTACAGTGGAAGCACTGTAAACAAATGTATCTCTGGACTTTGGACAAAGTTTTAAAACTTTTTGAATAAGATTCGAGTGCCTTGGACTACTATTATTCTTATGAGTATCTCTGGACTACATTTCGATAATAGCAGGACTGCAAGACTAATTCTCACCGGTCATGCAGAGAGACGGTGCATGTGCTGTTCAGGAGGATCTTTTGGGAATCCTGAGGATTCATTTTCACATCCAGCTTGCGGTGTACAAGTCAGACTTTCAGACAAACATATGCTAAAAAGGCAGAATGAGAAGTGAAATTAGTGTTGACATCTAACTTTACCCTACAGTCCTAATTCTAAGTGTATGTCTGGGTCTGAGCCAATTCAGCAATCAACCGATTTGCACGGAACAAAACTTAGCAAACATTTGAACGTGCAAAATTTAACAGTAAAGTCGCATATTTTAATATTTAGACTATAAATATTACGTATAAAATCGCGTTTATTGATTTACCACCATTCAAGCTAGCATCAATGTAGGAGCACAGCACAACGTTACTTCTTAGTCGGATGTTTTGTGCCAGGTGTGCGGAGTTTGGGACAGTGATTCACCCTCGCTGCCGTGCCTCGGTTCAATGTTTACCGCCCTCTACCGGACAGAGCGGCACATGGACACTACAATCTGCGTCAAAGAATAACATTTATTTTATTACATATTTTTTTATGAATTATTTGGATCTGGATAATATTTTTGTATAACGTTTTTTTTTATTTCACTATTAGAGTGATGTTAGATGTTTAAGCTTTAAGAGAAACGTATCTATTGTGTATCATATTTAATTCACATTTGTATTGTACAAAAATAAATCATAAAAGATCATACATTTTTCATCAATCAAAATCAAAACGACCCAGTTAAGGGTTTCTTCCGTAGTATTATTATTCAAACCTAAGATGAAATCTAAATGGATTTGAATAATCCTAAATTAAATCTAAGATGTTTTACTATACAAGTCAGCTGACCCACCAGGTAAATCAGCCTGGTTTCTGAGCAGGGTTAGTTCTTGTTACTTACTTCACTTTTACTTGCGTTCTACAGAACAAAATGATTTCGAGCACGATATTCTTTTCACAAAGTTTTACAACTTTTTATTTTATGTTATTTTATTTTATTTTTCGCACCGATTTATTGCTTATTACTATTTATTTATTTATGTTTGTTTGTTTGTTTTACATTGCATTACATTACATTACATAATTGTGGCCGTTGGTCTTTGTCTCCGTTTCAGATTTAAGTTTTACTGCGCTTTATTTGTATGACAAAAAACTCTACATTTGTGTCGCCAGGGGAGTTACCTCTCTCTCTCTCTCTCTCTCTCTCTCTCCCTCCCTCCCTCCCTCTGTGCATAAACGAGCAACTACCGCGAGCTATAATAGTAGTATATAGAAGATACAGAATTAACACTGAAACTCGCATGCTAAGCAGTGTTGGGGAAAGTTACTTTTAAAATTATGCATTACAATATTGCGTTACTCCATAAAAAAGTAACTAATTACGTAGTAACATGGGGACAGGAGAGCTGTCAATCAAGAAATTGGAAAAAAAATTAACTTGCGTTACTTATTTGAAAAAGTAACGCAGATATTCTCTTGTAAATTAAAAGTAATGCGTTACTTTACTAGTTACTTGAAAAAAGTAATCTGATTACGTAACTCGCGTTACTTGTAATGTGTTACCCCCAACACTGATGCTAAGCAATGCTGTTTTTTTTCAGCAGGGTAATAGATCGTATACCAGGCTGTAGGTATCATCTTACACATAAATAGGCTGTTATTATGGAAAAGAGCAATCATTTTTCAGTGTTAATTATTTCTCTGAATGTACCTGACATTGTGTAAACAGGGTATGTGGCCAGTTCTCCACTTCAAATGAAATCTGAACATAAACAATATCAAATAAAGCTCCCGCATGTCAGCGTTAATTAAATGTCAAAATACAGAAAAAGACACTGCAAATTTTTCCTAGAGGTTCCATGCTTCTTCCATGACAGACATGATTTCACTTGTGTCATCTACATTATAATGAATTTTTAAGAACATAATTAACTGAAATAGATTCACTTAAAGAGCCAGTCAACCCAAAAAGCATGCATAAACACTTTTACCGACAGATAAACAGTCCCATCATATTGTAATGTTTTTTAATACAGTGTGACATTTTGTTATGTGATCAGTTTTCACATTTAAGACCAGAAGTCTGGCAGACTTTCACCTCTGCTGCATTTATAACCATCAGAGGAGGAGAATCGAGGTATGAGTGATGTTAACATGGAATCTTTTCTCCCAAAATAGTCATTTCATGATTTGAGAGAGAAGAGAGGCCCGTGGAGAGTGAGACAGAGAGTTTTCCCTTCCCCCAGCTGTAGACGGGGAGAGAGGCGGGTGGAGGGCGAGGAAGGGTTGTTTTGTCTGAAACACAGGAAAGGGGCGGGGCCAAGCTTAAGCCTGTCTGTCTCGCAGTCTGTGTATGTGGGAGAGAGACGTCAGTATTTGAAGCATGAGTGCAATGTGTTCAAGTAGGACATTTATGCAACAAGTTGTAAATGCATGTGTGCATCAGTATGGATTTGAGCTGAACTCTCTGTTTCATGTCAAGCACAGCTATTAGGGTTTGTTAGTGGAGAAATGCGATGTTTATGAAAATGAGAGATTTCTGAGAGTTTAATATGGTGCTCTGTCTGTGTGTGAGTTTGTAAAACGTTATGGGTTTGGCCGTGGACCAGCTCTGTCTCTGTCTGTGCACCGAATGCCTCCGCTTTGACTCGCTCAGGAAGGTCAGTCTCCTGGGTGGAGAATTGTAAGTCATTCCAATAGCAAATGAGGTCACAGTGTGTTGCCACTCACACATGATTTAGAGAAGATGGTCTGACACCAGAGTCAAATGTTTCTCTGTACTTTTTATCTTCTGTGTTCCTTTCAGATAGAGCATCCCTGATTTCAGACCTGTCCATCCATCCAAAAGTTTGACCATTCTTAACTCTTTGTCTAGTTAATATTTAATATGAATGCATTGTGAAGTAGTAACAAAAGCTCTTTAAATCCTTAGAATCAACATTTAGATCTATAGCTTGCCTTGTTTAGATACGACAAAAATGACCTAAAATGATCTTATCTGATGTTATCTAAATATATAATACAATATAATTATGGTGTAAACTTATCTCTAAAACATATTTTATTTAAAACTAAATATAACTGGAAAGAAATGTGTACAAATATAGGCCACCATGCAGAAGTTTGGGGGCAGTAAGATTTTAATACAGTTAGAAGGATGCATTAAATTGACCAAAAGTGACAGTAAAGAAAAGAAAAATCTTACATTTTTTAATTTTTTAATTTTCTATACATCAAACAATCAGGAAAAAAATGTATCAGAGTTTCCACAAAAATATTAAGCAGCACAAATGTTTTCAATATTGGTGATATGTTTCTTGAGCACCAAATCAGCATATTAGACAATTTTCTGAAGAAAGACTGGAGTAATGGCTGCTGACAATTTAGCTTTTCCATCACAGGAATAAATTACAATAACAAATTATTAAAGTACTGTAGAAAACAGTTATTTTAAATTGTAATAATATTTCTCAGTATTACTGTTTTTATTGAGTATAAGAGACTCGCCCCAAACTTTTAAACGGTAGAGGCATAAAGAACATTTTAGCTAATTCACTTGACATTCTCTGAATAAATCATGACATTAATACTAATTATTATTTTGAGCCCTAATTTTCACATTGGTTTTATACTTAAGGTCTATTAAACAGAGATGAGAGACCATGATTGTCACATTTTCCAGTTGTGTTTTACATCACATTACAGCATCAGTCTACTATTTTGTTTGGCAAAAAGTGTAACTAGCTCATCTATTTCTAAGCCATTAGTTATGTCTTTCTCGTGAGCCAAAGTCATGAAATTCATTTTTCTCTCAGAGAATAGTTCTTTGGAATGGTGTTAGGACTCGGGTCAGGGTGGAGAATGAATATGATACTGAGGATAAGCGATTATCAGTGCATGCACTCCAGAAAATGCTCCGGTCAGTGCAGTAATAATAACACATAATAGATAAAAGGATATCAAAATGATGAGCAAAAATTTCAACAGAATATAGAGGAGTCAGTAGGTAGAAAATCAGCAGGTCTTTTCTTTGCTGAGTGTTCATAACTCAATTGCATGTAACTTAAACGAAAGAACATGCAAGCCTCAGATATAGTTGACAACCCCATAAAGCTGTGTAATTTTTTTGTTAATTTCTCTGATTAAGAATACATAATAATGTCACAACATAATAATGTTGTGATTACTCCTCAGGTGGCTGGGCGGAAAGGTTTCCCTCATGTCATATACGCTCGTCTGTGGCGATGGCCGGACCTTCACAAGAATGAACTCAAGCATGTCAAGTTCTGTCAGTATGCATTCGATCTGAAGTACGATAACGTGTGTGTGAACCCCTACCATTATGAGCGCGTGGTGTCCCCTGGGATTGGTGCGTATGTTACTAAAAACACGAACTACGTATGAAACTAACTAAACATTTTTCATCACTTTTATCATTTTACAAGGAAATATTTTGATAAATAATAGGCAATGAATATTTGACTCTATATTTTTTCTTTCTTCTCAGTTGGATTCAGTTTGCCAAACACAGGTGAGTGGAGCTCTGAGTAAATAGTGGAGGACATTAGCATTTGTATTTCTTCTTCAAATGTGAAAGAATGTCTCAAACATTCATCCGGGCTAATCGCTGATGGCCCTGATCGCTGCACTGCTGGCAGACAGCCTTTAATCATACAGAGACTGCCATAAAATGTGTCAGATCAAGACATGCAAGGACTTGCCTTGCAGTGAAAGAGACAAACAGGGACAGGAGTTTGGAGAGGAGCTCAAAGATGTTTTGACACTCGTTCTCATCCCTCAGGCAGGCTGATAAAAGAAGAGCACATACATGACTGCATACAGATGGAGGGTCCGTCGAGTATGGCCTTACAGCTAGACCATCCTCCTCCAGATCACTACAGCCCACAGCCGCTGAGACTGATGTCCCCAGAGCTGCCCCAGCGAACCACTTCCTCTGTCACTCTCTACCCCAGCCTGCCCCTCTCTCCACCCTGTAAGTACAGCAAAGCATGGATTAAGGGGTTTTGTTGCAAAGGAGTTTTGGCAGTGTAATCATAAAAATGAATGTAGTAAATATGTTTCAATGCAGTTGAATGATTTGAACTAAAAACCATCTAATTGCGTTATGGGGCATATTTACTAAGCTTTTCTTCATTTAGTCTTTTTTATTACATTATTTCAGTTATTTTTTATTTATTATATTGGATTGATTGATTAACTGATAATAAATAACAAAATTGTTCAAAATCTACTAGTTGGTGTTTTACCTTAGCAATGGAAAAACAAACTTTAAGTTGACATGCTGTCTTAAAAAAATAATAATGTTTTTATTATAATGAGATAGTAAAACATTATCAGTCTCATTCTCTCTCTAACCCTCTCTAAAGCAAGTGCATCCAGGTTGTCAATGCAGGTGGAACGTCCTGAGGGACTGTTGCAGATCGCATCCCCAGCGGGACGGGCCTTGACCTCCAGCTCTCCACCTTCCACCCCAACACACAGTCACGCACCCACACACAGCCAGCCTTCTTCCCAGCAGCCCTCCGTCAGCCAGAGTGAATACAGCACCTCAAAGCACACACAGACACAGGGAACTTACCACAGTGAGTCCTTTTTATAAATCACATAGGGTCATGTATTGACTATTGACCTTGTTGAATTTTATCATCAAGATTTTACAAGTTGTATATGTTTGTAAGGCAGTTCATCTGTATGACATTATCGATGACAGACCGATCTATGAAATCAGTATGAAGTCATATTAAATGTGTTTATTTTTAAACATCTCAGCAACAACCTGGACAGGGACCAGCACAGCCTCCTATACTCCTGCTGGACCACAGCAGAATGGGCGGAGTCATCAGCAAGCCCCTCCCCCTCACACTAGCCACTTCTGTATGTACATTTACATGTCACATCAACACGTTTTTGTAAAATGTAGATAATAATAATCGTAAAATAATTTAATAAACTCATGTAATAAATCAAATATATAAATGCATAAGATTTTATGAAAGAAAAAACTTATGTTCACAAAGACTGCATTTGTTTTATAAAAAAAACTGTAAAACATTAATATAGTGAAATATTTACAATTTATAGTAATCATTTTCTATCTTGATATTTTTAGTCTATTTTAAAATGTAATTTATTCATGTGATGGCAAAGCTGATTTTGACTTCTTAAAGAAAAAAACTCTTTCTGACCCCAAATTTTGAACAGTAGTGTATATAAATAAAATATAAATACATAATATGTATCAAAAATTTCATGAAAGTTTCATGAAATGTAATACAGTTTCATGAAATGTAATACATTTTGTAATTGTTACATAGATTTTTTTCATCATAATGATTATATACAATGATGGCTCTCTATGTAATGATATAAATGCCTAGTTCTTTCATGAAACACTAAATGGCACAGACTGATGGGTACTTAAAGGGTTAATTAACCCAAAAATGAAAATTTAACTTTAATGTGCCTCACACGGCTACATTAAAGTGATTATTACGTTTTGAATATGGATATTTTTCTTACAAAAACGCATCGATTCGCTACAGAAGGCCTTTGTTCACCCCCCGGAGCCGTGTGAGACACTTTTTTTTATGGATAGGCGATTTTTATTTAAGTTCTTTTGGACTGAAGCAATGCAACACCCGCTGAGTGGCATTAAACAGCTTGAAAGATCAAAGACAATTTTTTATATAATTCCGACTGGATTCGTCTGAAAGAAGAAAGCCATATACACCTAGGATGCCTCGGGGGTGAGTAAAACGCAGCCTAATTTTCATTTTTGGGTGAACTAACCCTTTAACGTAACTAACGTTAACGTAACATATTTACAGCATTAAACGACTTCGCACTTTTACAGCATTTTGCAGCGCGTTTTCAAAATTCCTTTGAAACCCTCCACCTTCCCCAGCACAACCTGTATAGATCTGCTACAGGTTATTTTATATGCTATTTGTGCAGCAGCAGTATGTCTTAAATACTCACAGCACCGTATCGCCGTATGTATTGGCGGTAGCAAGTTCCTGTACTTGCTTGCAGCAGCAGCAATAATCTACAACAACAGCAATAACCAAAAGCAGCAGCAGCAATCTAGCAGCAGCAGTGTAGCACATCTATTCCACCGAGACCAAATACATTAACATTGTCATTTCCATTGCCATGCTAAATCTTCAGAGAGTTGTCATTATAGAAATATAATTATATAATAGAAATCAATTTATACATCTCACTTTCATCTTTATCATCATTGTATCATTTTGTTTTTAATTGTGTTAATGTTATTTTTATACTGTTATCAGGGTCTCAGCATCACACACCAGCCTCATACCCTCAACCAGTTTCTAACCATCCAGGTACAACACACACACACACACATACTTGCATTTGTGGTTTACGGGGACTCCCCATAGGCATAATGGTTTTTATACTGTACAAACTGTATTTTCTATCGCCCTACACCAACCCTACTCCTAAACCTACCCCTTACAGAAAACTACTGGCAATTTTTGAATTTCATAAAACACCGTTTTGTCTGTTTTTTAAGCCTTTTGTTTTACGGGAACACAGGAAGAGTCCTCATAAACCATGTTTACGTTGTAGTACCCATGTCATTATACACATTTGTGTCCTCATAAACCATATATACCAGTACACACACACACATTTACATAAACCACACTCTGTATTAAATTAGTGTGTCATTTGTTTGTGCACTGTAGGCCCAGAGTTCTGGTGCTCAATCTCTTACTTCGAGATGGATGTGCAGGTCGGGGAGATGTTTAAAGTTCTAGCCAACTGTCCTGTGGTGACAGTGGATGGATATGTGGACCCTTCAGGCGGGGACCGCTTTTGTTTGGGTCAGCTTAGCAATGTTCATCGAACTGATGCCAGCGAGAGGGCACGGTCAGTGTGCATTCAACATAATACTTATACACATTCATTCATCGCTGGAGATTCAAGCTTTTGAACACCTGACATCTGCCCAACAGGCTTCACATTGGTAAAGGTGTTCAACTGGAGTGCCGTGGGGAGGGGGACGTGTGGATGCGTTGCCTTAGTGACCATGCTGTATTCGTGCAAAGTTACTACCTGGACAGAGAGGCAGGGAGAGCGCCAGGGGATGCCGTTCACAAGATCTACCCAGGAGCCCTCATTAAGGTACACCTTTAATGACATCACTCTTTAGCACTGCTTTCTTCTTTGCAATTAAATCAGACATCAAAACCAGGGGAACAACTTTGGGCCAGACAACTCTTTTTGAAATTGTTTCAGAAAGCAAGCATAATCAGTAAAGTTAAGCATAAAGTTGTAGACATTTAGATATCTGGATCAGTAAGTGTTTGTGAACTAAGAGCAGTTTGTTCCCCTTAGGTGTTTGATCTTCGTCAGTGTCACAGGCAGATGCAGCAGCAAGCGGTGACTGCGCAGGCAGCTGCGGCTGCACAGGCTGCAGCAGTGGCTGGGAACATCCCGGGGCCTGGCAGTGTTGGAGGAATCGCTCCAGCCATCAGTGAGTTGCTGGACCCAAAAACACTGATTTTCCAGTTAAATGTGATCACTATTTGAACAATCTTGTTAACTTTTCCTAAAACCCCAAGACTGTTTTGTTTACTCTGTGGTGCCAGTCTTTCCTGAACTGCTTTTCATCAGCAGTGCACTGAATATAAATCCCCACAGCAAAACAAGTAATTTACCCAATTTTGTAGTCTGAATTGAACGTGATGTGATGAAAAACATGTGTACAACATAATAATGCCAATGCAGTTCATTTAGAGAATCAAAAATATATAGCATGACCAGTATATTTTGATTCATGAACAAATTACTCTTTTGAACTGGTTCTTTTCAGTGAATCAAAAACATACAGCGCGACCAGAGTAGTTGGATTCATGAACAAATTATACTTATGAACTAGTTCTATTTAGTGAATCAAAAACTTACAATGCCAGTGTAGTTTGATTCATAAACAAATTACTTTTTATGGACTGGTTCTTTTTAGTGAATCAAAAACTTACAATGCCAGTGTAGTTTGATTCATGAACAAATTACTTTTTATGAACTGGTTCTTTTTAGTGAATCAAAAACTTACAGCATGACCAGTGTAGTTACTTTTTATGAGCTGGTTCTTTTTAGTGAATCAAAAACTTACAATGCCAGTGTAGTTTGATTCATAAACAAATTACTTTTTATGGACTGGTTCTTTTTAGTGAATCAAAAACTTACAATGCCAGTGTAGTTTGATTCATAAACAAATTACTTTTTATGGACTGGTTCTTTTTAGTGAATCAAAAACTTACAATGCCAGTGTAGTTTGATTCATAAACAAATTACTTTTTATGAACTGGTTCTTTTTAGTGAATTAAAAACTTACAACATGACCAGTGTAGTTACTTTTTATGGACTGGTTCTTTTTAGTGAATCAAAAACTTACAGCATGACCAGTGTATTTCAATTCATGAACAAATTACTTTTATGAACTGGATCTTTTTAGTGAATCAAAAACATACAGTGTGACCACTATTATTAGATTCATAAACAAATTACTCTTATGAACTGGTTCTTTTTAGTGAATTAAAAACATACCAGTGTAGTCCTATTCACAAACTATTGACTCTTTTGAAGTAGTCCTTTTAACAAATGATTTAAAAGACTCATACTCCTCTATTAATTAAATAGGTAATTGTACCAAACTGTAAGGTTACAATTTATTACTGAGAAATAATTTTTATGTCAGCAAAATTAGCACTATAATGGAAATATTCCCAAATGAATCTGAATCGAATCATGAGCTAGTGAATCAGAATCCAGCCCTAATCTTAAAATAGCACCTTTCAAAATTGTACTTGCTTCCTGTAATACACAACACACTCTTTCTCATATATTTTCACAGGTCTGTCGGCGGCAGCCGGAATAGGTGTTGATGACCTGAGACGTTTGTGTATCCTTAGGCTGAGTTTTGTAAAAGGCTGGGGACCCGACTACCCTCGACAGACCATCAAACAGACACCGTGCTGGGTGGAAGTTCATCTACACCGTGCCCTGCAACTGTTGGACGAGGTCCTGCACACCATGCCCCTCGCTGACCCCGGACCTGCCAACTGACCCACATACTGGAAAATAGACAAGCCCTGTCACAAAAACAGGGAGGACGACAGACAGAGAGAAAGAGAGACACACACCTGCACAGGCAAACAGTGACTCATAGTACCACATACACACATAAGCCTTCACACACACTGTCTTTCCACAGCCTTGGCCAGCAAAGTGCCTCTGAACTGACCAGTGTTTAGTCCACTCTTGGGTGCTGTTGACCTGGTTGTCATGGTAACACAGACCAAAGGCCCTGTTGATGAGTTCACACTAATGGAGGTCCAGAAGAGGTGAAAGTAAGTTGGTTAAGAGGGAGAGAAAGATTCATATGATAACACGATTAATATGCTTAATCCTCAGAGACCCAGGAATGGATATTAATTATATTTTTAACCCTTTAACATGTCTGTAGAAAGCCAGTAGTTATAAAGACTATTTTGTTAAGGCAAAATTTACATAAAGGTATAATTTAAAACAAAATGTTGCAAAAAAGGCACACTGGGCATTTAGAGTTGTAAAATTTCACTATTTTTCAAATCACTAAATGAAAGTTTTGAATTGACAACACAATTTAGCACACAAATGTTTTTGAAAAACAATATATATCAACCAGTCAACCAGTAAGGTTAAGAAGTAATAAATATTCATATTAAAGTGTATGCAAAGTGCAGTTATGTGTGTGTGTGTGTGTGTGTGTGTGTGTGTGTGTGTGTATACATATATATATATATATATAATTGGGTATTATTTAATTGCTTTATACAAACATTGTAGTTCTGCTGGGTCTCTGAGGGTTAAAGCTCTGACTCAATCTGATGTATCATAGTTCTTAAAGTGTCAGCTGATCTGAATGCTGAGTGCAGGCAGGATGTCCAGGAATACATGCATTTATAAACGGCAGGACAGAAAATGTGCTGTATTCTACAAGGCAGTATATTTTATCTAAAAAATATTGAAATGAGACCAAAGACTTAATGAAATGAGATCAAAGAATCTGCTTTTTTATGATATTCGACTTATGAATACCATAATAGTTTATAATTCATTGATACAGAGATAAAAGTTTTGTTAACAGTGGGATTTTCGTCTGCTAGGCTATACATGAGGGAGATATTAAACAGTGCTGAACTATGTGCCAAAACAGTCTGACACTTCATACATGCAGAAAAGAATTTATAAACCATGACACTGATACAGAAGTATGGACACCTAGTGGTTCTTTCAAGTATTGCATTCACTCATATACAGCTTTGCATTTTGGGTTACCTGACTGACGTTTAAGCTTTATTACAAACTGTATTTAATTAAAGGATTCTGTGAAAGGATATTCTGAATATATTCATGACAAAAGGGAGTTAGGCAGGACACCTCCAAGAGATGGGTTTCCTAAATTCTTTTTGCCAAATTCCTTTTGCTATTGTAGGATGTGTGTTCCAGGACCCTTATCCAGCGCTGCTTCAGCCGTGACTATATACAGAATACAGCATGCACTCGAGTGCCTTATTGCTTCCATAAAACAATCACTACAAAATAAAAATACTAATATCCTAAATTCATTATGCAGCATTCGTCCGCTAGAAGATATATGACATCTGGCGCATAACATACTTACAACAATCACAGATAGCAACTTTCTTGGTACTTATATCACCCTTTTGGCCTCATGGGAGAGCAAAGGGTCCATAGGTTGGGAATTACCTAACTTTTTTGTCAGCCGAACCCCTTTGACCTTAAATATTTACTTGAAGTATACCCTCTGAGATTTTAAGTTAATATTTCAATTATTTAAGAACACGTTTGCATGTTCACAGTTTTCTGTTAACAGTTAATGGTCACATGGCATGCAAATAAACAAATAAAATATGTAACCCTTTTCAGTGAGTTATTTGGATTATTTTGATTTTAAAATTATGTTAATTTTACAATTTTAGGATTTTATTAATTATTACCTCTTCGTGAAGCCCCTGCAGTTTTCTCATTCATGAACTCCATTATGGAAAACCCTGCAACTGTATCATGAATAGGGCTATTCCATTTTTGGACATCCTGCTTATTTAACATAATGCTTTTTGCATAGGGAAGTATTCATATCCAAATAGGCTATGTGTTTTCTCATTTCTAATTGCATGTAATCTTTAAAAAAATACAATGTAATTATATTATATGCAAAGTAGATGTAGCTGTTACAAGAAAAAAAACTTTTTCAGTAGGATCATGAGTAATTGGTGCAATTTATTAATTTTCGGCGGATATGAAATTGCTGGAAAATACAGGAGTGTACGGTGTTGGGACGCTGTCAATAAAATGCGCGCTGTTGGTGGGCGGTACTTACGGTCAGACTCTCAATCTGACGCAGTGCATCCTTCAGCGCGCAGCATCCGACAACGGCCTGGACCGAGGACACGAGGACACCGCGTACCGTGGAGATGTAGCCATGAATCATCCACATTATATCAGCTAAACGAAGGACCGTCGACATTTATTGTTTATTCCACGGCTGTTATCCGGATCGCAGCGCGCCCAACCCGCAATGGCTGAGATCACTGAAATACGCGCGGCGTACGGTGAGTAACGTTAGATAGCGCAGGCCTGAGCCTTCCCGACACGCCTGAGATATGAATGTTACGCATTATGAATACATTTGACCTGGTTAAGATAGCACTCATTTATGATGTGAGATTTTGGACAGCACTTATTGAGTTTCTTAAATCAAGATTACAACCACCATCAGAATAGGCTGTTGTTCAGTCATGCAGTGATTCGTTAAATTGTGAGTGTTTGTGAACGTCGCCATGTTGCAAAAGTGTTTTAATTGAGAGATGGGAGCAGGAATGACGTGATGTCTATTCCGGACTGGACCCGAAGGCTCTTTGTTTGTTAATAACGCGCCGCTGAGATTACAGCCTCCACCCATGTGTCCTCAAAATCACCAGCCATACTATAGGGGCTAGTTGTCACACGGGGAATATATTACAATAGCTCCATCTAAGTAACTATAAGGCTTGAGTCAAAAGCACAGTTATGCAAATTTGTGAGGTTCTCTGTGCTCGTTTCAATCATTTAGCTTAAAACCCTCTTATAGGAACAGTTTAACCTCAAATGAAATCAAAATGTCATTCTTTTACACACCCTTATGTCCCATAGCGTTTCATTTGTATTGAAAAAAAGACATATATATTTTTTTTTTAATCTTTTGCTGTTCTTTGACAGGTGCCATTTAGGGAAGTGGTTCTCAACCTCTTAGGCTCCAAGACCCCCGTTTTCTGTAGCAATATTTAGAGACACCATGTTTTTTCCAGTCTTTCATGATTTACAGTATAAGTATTAAGGACAGAGTTTTCAAAAGTATAGTATGTTGTACTTTACCCACAATATTTACCCAAATATAATATTTTAGATTTTGACACAATTCGAAAAATTTATATTCCTTATTTTAAAAAGACATTCCTTATTTTAAAAGGATTTCATAAGACCTTTTGTTTATTCTCAGCAGTGTTGGGGAGTAACTAGTTACATGTAACGGCGTTACGTAATTTAATTACAAAATAAATGTAACTGTAATCAGTTACAGTTACTAAGAAAAAATGTGTACAGAATTATACAAAATTGATTTCCTCTCTACTATGCCTGAAATAAGACACATTTTTTAGAACAATTTTAGTAGAGAAGATGAATACTGAGTATGCTGTTCTCTGTTTTATATGTTTCACTTTAATTACTAAACTGATATGAAAATCATTATCTTTAAGGAAATGTCATTTTTAGGGCTAATGTAAAGGAATAACTGTGTCGTGTCTGAGGGTGTGGGATAACGTGACAGAAGGAGTGCCCTCGGATCTGATGCCAGCACCAGCTGGCACCACAGTGCCCACCTCCATCTGGCATGAGCCTCCGAGAGACATTTACGCTCCAGACACAGCTTCTTTGCCCACTCTCACTGTGGCCTGTACATGTATTCAAAGAGCAGGCACCATGTGCTTTGGATGATGTGCAGAGTCATAGGATCCTGTAGGACAATATTGAGTGTAGAAAACAATTTCTTCGCCAATTTATTTTTTACAGTGGTGGATCTTGTCTTGTTTGAGATACAACCAGCTAATCTGTGATTCATTTTTAATTAATTCAAATGCTTTGGGAAACAGCTCAAAATGTAAAATCAAAGACTTTTTTATTTAACATTTATATTTTGAGGTCAGCATGAAATGGAAATTCACCCTAGCTATTTTCTTAGTGCAACTTAATAATATTGTGAACAATTAGTCCATTCTTGTTAAAAATTTTTTTATCTCATAATTAAAAAAAATAAAAGATTCCGTCATAACTGTATCTTCCTGTGAAACAACAGATTTCTCTCTGTTGATTTTTGCCCGACTTCTCCAATCATTTAGTCAGCCTCCATCCAATGAACAATCAAAGCACTGAACCAAGTCTCGCCCTACATTTTTATCTTTTCGATAATCCGTTTCACTTGAATGTACGTCACAATATGTAAAAAAATAAATAAATATCTGCCGCCACTTCCATTACATCACTACTTTAAATGGGACAAGATGAAGGTTTTTCTAGATGTTTTTGCTGCATCATTCTGATGTGACGTATGCACACTGAGACCACAGTGCTGGAATAACTGGCAGTACTAATTTCTGTCAGCGTTGGTAAATTAATGTCTTGAATTGATTACACTGCAGTAGACAGTAGGCTACTGTGTATTGCCTTTTTCTGGTATGGGAAAGTCAGAGCAGCACACATTTAACTCGTCGTCCTCAGCCACAGACAGTAACTTAGCAGATTCTTTTCTGAAGGATCTTACAGTCCACTAATTGTCTTCCTCAAGGGCATAACATTGATAGGGCTCTTTTAGCAACCCTCACATGTTTCTCCTTCCTGCAATGTTTTAACTAGCAACGAGTTAATCATTTAGCTACCAACACCCTAGACATATGTATCTCTGGCTTTTGATATTTGATCACTCTACCGTGTCCACAGTCTAGACACACCTGTCAGGGCTCTAAAGGGATGTTATTTTGATTTATGTCCTGAGAAATACTGAGTATGCCAAGAATTCAGTCATTGAGATGTCATTGAGAGGTTAGAGGCTTTGGTACTGTCAGTACATTGATTAAAAACTCAAGCGAAACCGTGTACATGTGTGCGTGAGGTGGGTGTCTATCCTCTTTGTTTGCGTGTGCTTTTGGTTCATATTATGTGTCTATGCCCCATGGGATGTTTCCAGGTAATTGGAGCAGCTGTTTTTTCGGAGCCTGCCAAGTCTTGCATCACCTAGCAGCAAGTGGGGTGAGGGTCTTTGAGTGGGGTTGGGTGAGAGTGATGGAGCAAAGAACAACAGACTGGGTGGAGCGCTGGCAAATATCTTTTTCTGTCTGCCTCACGCTGTTCATTTTGGCTGTAGCTCCATCATGCTGTTCTTTCTGGGCTGTGATGAATAGAATGTTCTACTTATTTGATTTTTTGCTGCCTTCTCTTCTTTTCTGAATCTTTGTCTTCATTCATCACAAAACTGCCACTTAGGCATCCAGTAAAACTGCTGACCTCACATCTGATCTCATAAGTTAGATCACTTTGACTTTGTAAAATTGTATTGCGGCGTGGATAGAGTGATCAGCATCAAGATTCGTTGTTAAGCAAGTCATGTTTGAGCAGCTCATCTTACAATGGACATATATCACAAACACTCTCCCAGAGAGTGTTTCCGTTATCCAAGTCTTAATTTATGTCACTGTCCTGACAACACAAGGACAGAAAGCTTAAAGCTGCAGTCCGTAACTTTTTTTGGTTAAAAATGATCCGAAATCAATATTTGAGCAGGTACGTAACCAGCCAGTGTTCAAAACTATCGGCTTACTTTAGCCCGGTTCACAATGGTTAGCTTATAATGTTTTCTAATTTGAGTGGTACGGGTAGGTTTTCGCGGGAAATTCGAGCATGCCGCTGCGTCATTACGTCACGTCTGTAAACATAAAGAAGTTGTCCCGGCTACTAGGCTATCGCATGTGAGGATCCTGTAGGTGGCGGATCTTTTATAGCCTTTTCTCACAGCAGCTGTAATAATTACATTTATCATTTTGATGGCGTATTGTAATCCAGAAAGGATTATGTGTTTATGAAACACATGTGAATGAAATTACATTATATTCCAGTTTTAAATGTGCTTCTGATTAGGGCTGTGCGATTAATCAAAATCGTCATAAAATCGCGATTTTCCGCGCCACCGACCTGCCGCAATATGCTTTCCGAACCAATCAGAATGCAGCGCGCCTAAATGGAGCACGAGAACAGAACAGACCGGGCGGGCATACAAACGTAAGGCCAGGTTCACACACTCCATCTGTGGTGCGTATTTTTTCCGCGCCCATGTTAACGGATCAGAGCGTTCACACTGCACGCGGTTGTGGTCCGTCAGTGCGTTCCAGGTGCGGCGCGTCTGCAGCAGTGCAGCGATCGTTTACGCACCGAGTCTATTTTTGCTGTGCTGCACGCGCTGAATTAAAGTGACAGCGCATTTTTCGGGTAAAAATTAACATGGATTGGCACAGAAATATAGTAATTAGTAATAGTAATTTCACAATCAATTGATATAATTCAATTCTACTGTGTTTCACAGTAAACACATGGCTTTTTAGCGCATTATTCGCAGTAAAAAAATAACATGGATTGGCACGGAAATTTAGTAATTACACCATAAATGCATATAATTAAAGTCTACTGTTTCACAGTCAACACATGGCTTTTTGGCTAGATTTAAAACAAGGAAAAGTGCACTTTTAGATAAACAAGGCAATAATAGATGGCACTTGTGGTGGTAGTTAAACAAAGTTATATTTATTGAGTTTAAACGTGAATATGTCTATGAAAGATTGTATTACTGTACTGTGATAAAAGAGAATCACAGTGATAAAAGAGAATCACAATGCTGAAAAAGCATTTTCAGAAACAACGTTTGGATTTGAAATCAAAATATTGGATAAATGTTGTGTTTGTGGTAAACAGCCGCGGATCAGGAGCGGACTGCAAACGCGTTACTTACTTGTAAACGTGGCAGACTTGTTACTTACTTGTTCAGATGACAATATACGGTGAAAATTCTTATTTGGGTCATATATTCCAAGACTAGGCTAGTGATTGCGAACTACAGTAAATATCCACACCGGTGCGGTGACTGACTGCCACACATACTCCTCAAAACATTAGATTCATCCGCGCTGACTCACAACCCACGCAAGGAAGATTGCAACCCACAGCTGCAATTGCAGGTTTTCAAACAGAGATGGCGACAAAGAGGCAAAACTTACGGACTGCAGCTTTAAGTAAATAAACTCTTTCAGCTTTTTGTCATTGAATGACTGTACATGCAATTATTTTTATTTATTTAATATCAAAAAGTTTCAGGTCGGTAGATCATTCCTGTGATGGCAAAGCTAAAATTTTAGCAGCAATTACTCCAGTCTTCAGTGTCATGTGAGCATTCAGAAATCATTATAATATGCTGATTTGGTGCTCAAGAAACATTACTTCTTATTATCAATATTGAAAACAGTTGAAGCATCCAGTTCAGCAGTTGAAGACTGCTTTATATTTTTGTGGAAACCTTGATACATTTTTTTTAGGACTCTTTGATGAATAGAGTTCAAAAGAACAGCATTTATCATTTTATATATAATATTATACATAATAATATTATATAATATTTAAAATATATAAAATATTATACAATATAAAATACAATATATCAAATATTATATTTATATATAATATTTATATTATTATTATGTATGATATGTTGTATATAAATTTATATAGACATCTTTGTAACAGTATAAATGTCTTTACTGTCACTTTTGACCAATTTAATGAGTCCATGCTGAATAGAAGTATTTATTTCTTTGAATAAATAAAAAAGAAGGAAAAAGAAAATGTATCTAGCTTTTTTTATTTCTCAATGGACAAATCCTGTTCTTTACCGCATTTGAGGCAGCATACTTATTCCAAAAATATGTATTTAAGTAACATTCGTAATGTAACATACCATTAAATGCATTTACACCCAAATGACAATAGCAAATACTCTGATACAGCTTTTACACAGAACCAAGTGTAAATACACCTAGACAAGAATTTCCAATATTTCATAGCTGTGTTGCTGTAGCGTGAGACCGGATGCAGTCGTCGCTGTGTGGGATGACTGTGTTCCTCTGCATGTGCGGGTGGAGTGGGCATGAAGTAGATATAGAGCGAGTCTACTGTGAGTTTGTCAGTGTCTGCATGTTCCGAGCTTTTGTGCTTTAACCAAAAGCTTTAACAAGAAAGACTTATTTATTCTTTACGATTTAAGCTTGTGAACATCTTCAGGTATGAATATGCTGTGGGTGAATGTAGATGGATGCGACTGAGTTGTTCAGCAGTCAGTTTACTCTTCTGTCTCTGTTTTCCTCTTTTAGATATGTCCCCAGTGCTGGCGGGGTTTATCGGTGCCGGTGTGTTGGTCGTTGCAGTCATTGCATTAATCTTTGTGTGGACTTGCTGTCAGAAACATTACAACAGGACAAACTACAAGCTCCATGGAATCCAATCGGAACAAAGTGATCCTCTCACAGACCCACCGTACAGGTTTATTCACATGCTGAAAGGAATGAGCATCTACCCTGACACGCTTACCAGCAGCAAGAGGATCATACGAGTAGCACGCCAGGCCAGATCCCAGACCACCGACGGGGCTCAAAGCAACAAGGGTCGCCCAGTGGTGCTGGTAGATATGGATTCGGCAGCAGAAAGCGGCCTGCTGGGAGAGAAACAAATGCAGATGAGGCTCGATGAAAGTGGCCATGAGGTTCCTAAGCTGGAGAGGGAACTTCCTGTGCATGCAGATTACTGCTGTCTGGACAGCAGCTCTGCCAGCAGCAGTCAGACCTCCAGTACTACGGTTTCCAGCACAGCTACACCCTTCACCCCCGCAGAAGAGCCCAGCCGAGGAGATCTCAGCATCGCAATCGATTATAACTTCCCTAAGAAGGCCTTGGTGGTCACCATCCTGGAGGCTCGGGGGTTACCGGCCGTAGAAGGCAATGCGGGCAGTGCCGACCCCTATGTGAAGATGACTATTCTCCCCGAGAAGAAACATCGCGTTAAGACTCGGGTCCTGAGGAAGACTCTGGAACCTGCGTTTGATGAGACCTTCACATTTTATGGCGTGCCGTACAGCTCCCTGTCAGATCTCACTCTGCACTTTCTGGTGCTGAGCTTTGACCGGTTCTCACGAGACGATGTGATCGGGGAGGCGATGGTTCCGCTGGCAGGTGTGGATCCGAGTACAGGCCGGGTCCATATTACGCAACAGATCACAAAGAGAAGTATGCAGGTGAGAAAGAGCATAACACCAGAAAAAACACATATGAGCCAATCCTATAGTACAGTGGTTCTCAAACTTTTTACAGCGGCGTACCCCCTGGGGCATTTAACATTCTTCTGCGTACCCCCGCTCGGCAAAAATACAAATATCCAGGACCGTATCTGTACGTCTAATCGACGTGCAAATCCGGTACGGTATCTGGACGTCTTGACTACGACGTCCCTTGGACGTAGATATGCAGTTCAAAATTTGAAAAAATGTTTGGACGTCTGTACAACGTGCAGAACAGATTCAGGAAATCGATGCAAGAACGTTTTATACAAATAAACATTTAAAATGTAAAATGTTCACTTAATATTAAATTTTTTTGTTGAACTGTTGTAAAAATTAATGGCACATTTTCCATCGTTTGGATATTCAGGGAACTTTGCATTCTTGCTCGCATCTTAAACATGAAAACAATAACACGCACAGTGTGTCTGTATCGAAGAGAGTTTAAATCGATCTCAGTCCGTGTCAATATTTGCTCTTCATGCTATTAAGTGAAGATCTACTTTAAAGATACATTGAACAGCAGCGCGATTTGCTAAAGAAGCATATTCAGCGGGCATCCTATCACATGCACGCTGCTTGTGTGGATGCAGTCAGTTTTAACCGCAAAAGATGAGGTAAGCTGATTGGATATCATGTATTTGACCGTTTACTTACGGCACTCCCATTTTCCTGTTTTTACATTAGAAGCAGCATTTTGCTTGTCAGAAATACATTCGGTTTTAATGTTACTTTTAAGTTGGGCTAGAATTAAATGAATGCCAAAACTCTTCATCTCACGTACCCCAGTTTGAGAACCACTGCTATAGTACATTGTTCAAATTCAAAACATTTTGACTATATTGTATAGCACAATGCAGTGCATTATATACATGCAGCATGAAAAAGAAAGATCAAAAAGCAAGAATAAGAATTTTTTATTGTATTTTTTATTTATAATCAGTGTTAGGAAAAGTTACTTTAAAAGTAATGCATTACAATATTGTGTTATTCCCTAAAGAAGTAACTAATTACTGTTACTGTCTCATCCTCCTACTGCAGTTTGTAGTCATTGATAAATGTGCTTATCCTCCTGCTCACTGAGTGGGTTTAGATGACGCGTAGACAATCCAGTTGGCACGTACATGAAAGCCTCCTCGTGCCTCCACACAGAACCTAAGCTGCGAAGATAAACAGAAAACAAGTTTTTAACAAGTCATCAGCCCACTCAGTTTGTACTTATTTTTAATGCATCTGATCAGTTCCTTTGCCAATACACCATGTGCTGAAGAGCATTCTCTATCGCATTATCACTTACCTGCTTAAGCTGCGTTCACACTAGCAGCGACTTTGTCAAACATTTTGGAGGCAAAAGACTAAATATAATATAAATATGAATTAAATCCGTACATACAAACAAAAATGAATGAGAAACAGAGCCTACTCTTTTTCCATTGCGTATGTTTATCTATGGCTGAGAGGAGAACGAACACATGAGCTCTTCTTTCCTATTGGTTGTCGCTCCCGAAAGTTGCCCTTCATTTGCATAAAGTGGAAGGATTCTGAACTTTGTCACGTCGCTGGACAGGTCACTTGTAGTGTGAACGGGGCTTTATGCTGCAGTTCTTCCAGTGCTGTTGAGGTGCTTAGTGAACCTAGGGATATTCGTACATGTATTGTAATGTTGAATCAAGCCAAAGAGGTCTATTCAATAATTATATTGTCTTAAATACTTTAACTTGTTGTCTTTTTAAACTTTTGTGTCTGTGTATTTGAATTTCTGCAGTGTGTGAGCCGTGGAGAGCTGCTGGTCTCTCTTTCCTATCAGCCTGTTTCTCACAGACTGAGTGTGGTGGTGTTAAAAGCAAAACACCTTCCAAAATTGGACATCACTGGCCTATCTGGAAGTAAGTGTACATTTAAATGATTTTTTATTTATTTTTTTTAAGTTTTGGGGTCAGTATGATTTTTTATGTTTTTAAAGAAGTCTCTTATGCTCACCAAAGCTGCATTTATTTGATCAAAAAATAGGTAAATCAGTAATTTTATGAAATACTATTGCAGTTTTCTATTTGAATATATTTTAAAATGTTATTTATTCCTGTGTTGGTAAAGCTATACCAGAGCAATTACTCCTGTCTAATATGCTAATCCAGTGTTTAAGATACATTTCTTATTATTATCAATATTGAAAACATTTGTGCTTCTTAATATTTTTGTGGAAACGGTGATACATTTTTTTCAGGATTTTTGATGAATAGAAAGTTCAAAATAACTGCATTTTTTTTTCAAATAAATTTTTTTGTAACATCATAAATGTCTTTATCGTCGATTTTGAATAAATTGCTGAATTAAAAGTACTGATATTTAAAACAAAAACAAAAAATGACAGACCCTACAAAAGAAACTTTTGACAGTCAAATATACACAGTGTATATTTAACAAATTACAATATTTTTAAAATTATAATACATTAAATTTATGTAAAATTACAATATTTTTAAAAATAGATTTTTTTTATATCTTGCCTAAATATCTAATCTAATGACTCATTTTGTGTCCCAGATCCGTATGTGAAGTTGAATGTGTTCTACGGCCACAAGCGCATTGCCAAGAAGAAAACGCATGTGAAGAAATGCACGCTCAATCCAGTCTTTAACGAATCCTTTATCTATGACGTGCCGGCCGAGTTGCTGCCAGACATCTCTATCGAGTTCCTGGTCATGGACTTTGACCGCACTACTAAAAACCAGGCCTTGGGACGCCTGGTTCTCGGCGCAAACAGCCCCTGCCCCTCGGGAGCCGCCCACTGGCAGGAGGTCTGCCAAAACCCACGGCGCCAAATCTCAAAGTGGCACACGCTCAATGAATATTAGAGCTTCACCACAATCTCTCTCCGCACACACGCTCAAACACAGGCACACAGGAAACATTTAATAACGAGAGAGAGAGAGTTCTGGGAAAAGATGCCTTTTTGTTACCGTCACTACATGGAAAGTAACTGATTATCAGGAGGACACAGAGAACTTTTACGTCACTGCTAATGCGATGATGGGCCTCGGAAATTAATCTTTTTAAAGTACACATTTACTTTCTCACTCAGTTGCCCACATATAAACACACATATACACCGCCTGAACACAAACATACATGAGAAATAATAAATGAGACCAAAATAACAAAAAAACATATTGACTGTTAGGAATTTATGAAGTTTGGGATTCTGTAACTGTCCTAATAAAACATAATGCATGTCTTGACGCTAGGGGTGTGCGATATATATCGTCTGCGATAGTATCGTAATTGTTGTTTTAACGATGTGCGATTTGACATTATCGAGTATTTTGCAAAAACCATTCAAAACATCCCTACAGAGGATGTCCCTACAGATCCCTACACATACATTAAGTCTAGACTAGTGCGTGTGCGCATTTAGTGTGTTTTCTTTCACTGCATGATTCAGTCTATTAAAATGCATTTAGAATGATCACAAATTCAAGACATGACGGCAGAAAATTTATATATTTATACCACTGCATATAGTTATTCAATTTCACACGAACCAGAACAGGACATTGTGTGGATTTGTGATGCTGGCACACATTAAGCAGGCTATTTTTTGAGGCATCTGATTTCCGGAAGTTTGTGAAAGGAGTTGTGATGAGCGTCTTCTGATATGTACCGATATCTCCACTGTATGAGAAATGCACTGAAGTGATACAGAGGTTGTATGATCTATGCTGAAGTATAAATTGTTCTGTTATGCTTTGGCTGGCGATGTTTCGGAGATTCCTGCTGTGTCACATTCTCCACAGCTACATGTTGAGTCATGTGATTGTATAACAATAACCCTATTGGCAGCACTCTGGGCCTGATTTATTGCTTGTGCAATGATTTCATCATGTACTTTGAATAAATCTGGCCCTGAACAACTTAATCTGCACTGCTATTCTACAAACTCACTCTGAATGTCACTGTCTGTATGAATTACATACATCAGAGTTTCACTTCACATAAAACAGTGGCTCACTGTTTCGTAGATCGTACTAGCCAATGTCATCAGATTGCCTTTTTAAAGTGGATTGGATTCACTTTCATTTTAAATCCTGTGTGATATAGAGATAGACAAAGAGGTGGGTTCGTAGTTTGGAGCTGGGAAGCTCTGGTATATTACGGGGTCGTTCTGAGCCCTCTGGTGTGATGTTTGGGAAATGGAAGGATATGTAGCGTTTTATCATTTGTAGTTCATAAAGTCAAGGGGAAGATGTTCATGTAATTCTATCAATAACAGTCTGTCCTTCTAGCATACCTCCATCTCAGTTTCACTTTTTTGTCTTATACCACTTTGTCACATCTCTCTTTTATGATGAGAACCTGTAAAGTCATGGTTTGCCAGTGTGCCTGCCGATAGCCTGGGCCTTTATCTCTGATTGGTGCTCCTCACTGTTAATTTACCAAGTCGGGTCTGAATCTGGCATAGAGTGTACTGTGTTTCATATGGCGTTAGAATTAAGATTGGGAACCAAAAAAAAATACTGGAAACAAATGACCTTTATCTCCATTAACGATTCTCGCATGTGCAATTTTTGCTAACATTGTATTAAACAATTCTGAGAGTTTCCTGTTTTATAAATTTCCTACACAATTTATTCAGCAGTGACATAACACTGCTAGTGAGCCCAGTGTACTCCAATTACAGAATAAATGGCTCATGATTCAGTCCTTGTATTGAAGCAAAACCATACAGTGTGACCAGTGTAGTATGATTCTCAAACAAATAATGAGTCCGATCTTTTTAATGAATCAAAAACATACAGCAAAATTTAGTGCGACTCCCAAAAACGACTCTAATTGGGCAGTTTTTACTGAATAAAAATCATTTCGCACAACCAGTATACTAGGATTCCTGAACAAATGAATCTAATGAGTCGGTTCTTTTTAATGTATCGAAAACACAACACAACTACAGTACACACTCTTAAAAATAATGGTTCTTTATTGGCATTGATGGTTCCATGAAGAACCTTTAACATCCATGGAACCTTCCATTGCAGGAAGATGGAAAAACATTTCTTTAGATCATTAAAATGATCTTTACATTAAGAATTTTTTTTTCTTTTTAGAAATGTTCACTTGAAGGTTCTTTGGGGAACCAAAAATGGTTCTTATATTACATTGCTGCAAAACCCTCCTTTTGGAACCTTTATTTTTAAGTATATGACAACATGTAGTTACTGGTTGTGTAGTTTAAAAATACATATATGTGTTTTGTATTTCATAAATATTAATAAAGAAAATCAGAACCAAAACCTTTACATTATTCTAGATTTCCATCCCAAGCAGGAAATGTGGCCAAGATTCAGAAGACCCAGCAGAGCAGGGACAATAACAGATCTGGGAAACACACAATGTCACTTCCTATACATATATCCATTTCTGATCAATTCCCCACAAATTAGCCTCTAGTGGTCAGCTGGTTGTATGGCACATGGTTTGTCTATCATAGAGAAGTTAAGATTCTAAACTGTAATTCTGGATGGGAAAACGCTTCTTTCCATTCAAGCTTCTTACATGCTTAAGCCACACTCCCTGTATAAAAGCGCACCCTATCCACCCAGTAATGTCTTTCGTATAGAAGATACTTTTTGTGTGGGATCACTGGTATCACAAAATGGAAAGATATTAAAAGATTCAGTCCATGTGACAAACAACACACAGGAGAAAAAAAACACAATAGATTAAAAAAACATATGTGACCTATACACACAATCACTTTGGTGTTCAAAAATTAATTGGCAGGAAAAATTTTGTATTAGTGCAAACTAAAAAAAAAAATCTTGTGAATATTTGACAAATACTGTACTGCTAAATGCTGTGAGATCTCTGCTAATGTTACACACCCACCTGTATGTTAGTGTTCTTAACACCCACTGAATGTGCAAAATAAACGTGATACACAATTTAATTTTCTCTCCTCTAGTATATTTTCACTCCAAAATCTAAATTATTTGCATATTTTTAAAATGTGCTTATGGGTCATAGAAAATGAAGAACCTTTGGAAAATCAAAATATCCCAATATTATAGTGTCTTAGTACATGAATGGTATTAAACCTAAACCAAAGAAAATATCTGCGGTGCGAGCAGTGATGTCAATTTAAATTTAATTTTTTTTTGCAATTACTAAATTAACCATGAGGGTTTCTTTTGTCTCGCTCTTATATCACTGTTAAATTTATTGATAGTAAACAATTCTGATATTTAAACGTTATCAGACATGTTTGACTAAAAAATGAAATACAATAGCATCCTCTTTTGCTCCAGAAGCTTCATGGCAAGTCTGAGAAATTTCCCAGGCTCTATTTATCAAATGATTGTTTACATGCATTAAAAAACTCTGGTTTACTGAGTAATTTTTTAAGTTGAGAATTGAGGCAAATGGATATGAGACTACATGACTCTCCAAAGAGAGTCTTTGTGAAGGGTTTAAATTATGACTTGGCAACATGAGATGACCTTCATATACTTCATCTCCAATGAAAGACTTTGATTTTCTTGGAAAAATCGGGTAGACCATGCTTCCTCATTCAATTTCTGAACCAGAACAGGAATGCTGATATAAAGGGAGCTGAACAACCCATTAAACTTTTGAACCGTGACAATAAAATTAAAACTGACTAGACATATAGTACTAGACTCTCTGTACACAGCAGACATATTCATACATCACAAGTTTAAGCTACATTTAGGTTATATTCTTTGAGATTTGTTGTCAACTCTACTTGTCTATTGATTACAATAAAGATCTGCATTGATATATATTGTCCTTCCACAGATTTTAAAGAATAAAGATAATTCTGGTGTAAACGCGATACCCCATGCAAGTCCTAAACTATTTTTCATCTGAAGCAATGCAATTAAGTCAAAGCGCATATGTGAGAAATGTCATATATGTGAGAAACAGACACAATCACACAGTCCTAAGACTGTCTTTGTCACTGTTAGGTAAACCAGCAAACTAGCAAAAACGGCATAAAAATGTCTCGGCATTCGTGGACTGGCCGCACCCTAAATGAGGGGCATCACATGCATCTACCATGAAAAATGGCAAAACCATCCAACAAAGCCCTCGTTTCAGACACAGCAGACAAGGACTGAGACCTAATATAAAAGGGCAAATCTAGCGGGTTTGTAATAAAGATATTTTTTATTTCTACATTTTACCATCTCAAAGGACTCACTCGTTCATCTCAAAGGTAAGAACTGCTGCTGCTTTGACAGTTTTTGACACTCCGCTTACCGTCTACTCGATAATAACCAAAAGCATGATACAACTACTTTTAGAAACTGGTTAATTGTGAAATAGTTTTGCAATCGTAGTAAATTAATGTCCTATAAAATGGACATTTTTTTCTTTATTACGAAATTTGTGCAACATTTTAAATCTATTACCCTATAACTATAGCTGACGACCAAAGAGTGTCTGAGAGAGATTAATAATTTTGGTTTCCTGTAAAATAAGCTTAGACAGGTGCCTAACATGTCTTTTAGTGTCCCAAACCAGCATCAGTTACCCATGCATCTTAGACAAACATGACCTGAAGCATTGGAGACTTTACCCGAAATATTATTGGTCTGTTATAAATTCACACAAGCTTTATAAGTCCAGTATCACCATCTAGTCTTCATCTTACAATTATTTTTCTATTTATTTCACTCACAACACCCATTTTATTAAGGCAGACGCTAAAAGTTTTTGTTGTGATTATCCTTAATGTTATTTTTTATTCAGATCGATTTCTTTTTTTTTTTTTGCAGGTAAGCACTTGCTCAGTACTGACCCACTGGGATCTGTAAGAGTGCCCCCTCTGTGCAGTAAGTGAATCTGAAAGCAACAAATTTGATATTATAAACTGTGAGAATGGCCTGTGAGAATGCTTTGATCAGATTTGACACAGTTGGATTTTATTCCATGAGATAACATTCTGAAGAACCCTTTAATCTGGAGATTCCATCTGATTTGAAGATATGTTTGAGAGACTTCAAAAACACTTAAAAATGCCTGTTTTTGAATAGTTTCATTGCTTTTGGTTGGAGGTCCTGAGCCATTACCTTGTATGATATTTCTGGAGCACCGGTGGCCAAATGACAGCTT